CTGACTCCTAAGTGACATCTGGAGACCCATGACTGACCAGTGAACAGGCCATCTGGTGCTTCCCGGCTGTCCGCCTCGCGCATTCTCTTGCGAAGTCGATCCGGTGCTCCTTTACCATCCGATCTGCTGCTCCTAGCTTCTTGCCCGTCCGATCCGCTGCTTTCTGGATACTCTCTTGTCTATCAGATCTGTTGCTTCTTCACCGTCTGACCCGCTGCTCCTTGGCTGGGGGACCTGTAAGATACTGTCCTGACCGCCCGATCCGCTGCTCCGTGGCCGGCCGAGTGGCGTCTGATTGTCAATCAGCGTCGCCGACACGGCTCCGAGCGGCACCGATCAATAGCCGAGGTCGGTCCCGAGTGGCTCCGGCCACCCCGCCCCGCTCCGGAGTGGCTAGCGCACGGTGGAGGAGGGGGCTCCTACGGTGAGGGGAGGGGCGGGGCTCCCACGGTCAGACGGCGGCTCCCATGGCGGTAGACATACTCTCACGCTCAGACGCTCAGTGACATGTCCTTCCGGCACCGTAACAACTATCCTCTGTGTCTCAGACTCATTCAAATATAAAGCATTAATTTGCAGAGTTGTCTACAAAGGTGCAAAGTTTCAAAGGTAACAATAAAAAACAATGGTAGACTGCGGGCAGTGAACTGACAGGATACAATGTCGTCCACTGGTCCACGATTGGAATTCATTCGTGGACTAAAAGGTTGACAAAGACCCTCATATCTTATGAAACGCGTCACTGCTTTGCCCAGCGACAAGCTTTAGTGACACTTTAATCACTTTTACATCTCATTCATGGAAGACCATCACCAAGCACGACAAACTTTCACGGACAAACGGTAAAGCTCCATACCCAGAGACACGTTCCCTGTTGGTGAAACCTACTTCTTCACAAATCCATCCAAACTCGCTCGCTGTTTGACGGTCCCAGTCCCAGTAGTTCGGCGCGGTCTGTGTCGGAGATCCCACCAACTTCCAGCACTCCGAACCATGGACCATAGCGGACGACCTCTCCGCTCTGTGATTGAAGTGCGCACGCCGGACCGCGGCGGCACCGGTTGTAACGCCAGGGAAGGCTCGGCAAATGTGTCCCATGGCGTGGCCTAGCGTCGTGAGGCGCCGTAGTAGCGGTCTCGTGACCTGGGTTTACAGGGTGTGCGCTCACCTGAACAGCGACTTCGGTCCCCAGCGGGCGGCGCCGGGCTCGCACAAAGGTCACGTTCAGGCACTGCCGCGGTCGCTCACCGTGGGGTCATGGACGCGGGGCACTACGGACTGGGTAGAGGACGGACGAGCAGAGCGTTAGGCGGGAGAGAGTGTGTGTGAGAGAGGAAAGAATAGAAAGACAGAGAGAGAGAGAGAGAGAGAGGGAGAGAGGGAAAGAGAGAGGAGAGAGGAAAGTATAGAAAGACAGAGAGGGAGAGAGAAGGGGAAAGAGAGGGAGAGAGAGAGAGAGAGAGAGAGAGAGAGAGAGAGAGAGAGAGAGAGAGAGAGAGAGAGAGAGAGAACGCTCGATGTATTTGTTCTCGAACGTATGGACGTATCATCTGATCTGTTTGTTCCTCTGATGACATTCTGATACACACTATTGGCCACCACATAGCATGCACGCAATTATCACGACATGGGCAAACGAAAGGAAGAGGCTTAGCTGATATTTCAACATAACTGAGGGAAACAAAAATAAACGCTAATCTAAAGGTTGATGGAAGTAGGTAAACCAATAACTACAACGTCGGCATTTCATACTTATTATAGCACATCAAACAAAGCTTAGATTGACTTTCTGGGAAGTTTCCAGCTTTACGACACACACAAGACACGTGACTTGCTAGATGTTTGATTTCTACAGCCCCTGATCCTGATGTGAAATCCTCACCTGGAGTCCCCGTATTTGTCACCGCCGCGCCACGCCTCGCCGCTCGGGTTTTACCTCGTCTCCGTCCGGCGCGGTGTTTACCCAGTGAGCCGGCAGCTCCTCCGTATACGGCCTGGAAGCGTCCGCCGCCGGCAGCAGTGCCCCTGGGGGACCCAGAACCGAGCACCGGCACCCAATCTGAATTTCAACTCAGCCAGCACTAATAAATGTCGCGATAAACGAATAGTATGACGACGTCTATTTATTGTTATTGCTCCTGTCCGTGTCACAAATAAAACGGAGAGGGCTTTTCACTACTGGCTGTTTGTATCTTCCACTAACCTAACTTACAGCTTCTGTGTTTGAAATACAGCTGCCTGAAGTTACAGCTGCCTGAAGTTTTCATAGTGTACTTACATTTATAACCATAATTTTATCGGTCAAAACAAAAAAGTAATTGAATTACATATCCACACAGATATTTCCAATTGCACGTAAATAGTCAGCAATGTAATGGTTTACAGGCGCTGAATTCCTAAAGTCAAACAAAATGCAATGAATTTACTGCAGAGCTCTCTTGACATATGTAGCTACTGTCACAGTTATCATATCCGCTATGACATTTGCCGAAAAGTATTAGGTAGCTTCCAATTAATTCCTTTCGGAAGGAATATTCAATAGTAGCTTTGCACTTCGTAGTATTGAGGTAGCATACTTGGCTGCGAAATGTCAGCTCGTCAACTAACTGATAGAACCTCGCTAACTAAGGTACTCCGAAATCCCCATCCTTTGTTTTAGGCTCCGAACTCTGACACATTAGTCCGTATCAAGCTAATGGAGGGCCTGTTTTACTTCGTTGGAGTGTTTTCTTGACATTCTTTTCTTAAGTAGGCAGTATTTCCTATTTAAATAGCTTCCACCTATTTTCTTTTTACATTTCAATTTCATGGATTCAGTTAAAGGGACTATCCCACCTTTAACATGGGGTTTGAGTTGAGATAGCCAAGTTTGCGGCGAGGTTCAGAAACCACTATCTATCTAGGTTGCAACCCCCGCGGCCTCTTGGTGTTGAAGAAATTCGTTCCCTTCATTTGAAAATGGGCCTTGCGCAAGGCCCTATCTTCAACATGGAGCGACCGTTAGTGTGACGTCACCTCGTTTAGTCATTCTGATTTAAATGGGTTTGTTCGTTGAAAAATCGCTTAAAACTTGGTCTGGACTTTGTTGTGGTGCCTACAGAGTAAAAAGAATCAGCTTTATGACAGTAATGTGGCCTGGGGAAGGAGGTAATTTTGGGCTGTGACGTCACATGTTTGAAAGTTTGTGTTTGGAATATGGGAAGCCTAAGATGTTTAATGAAAAATAAATGCCAGAACCGTGTTCCTGGTCATCCAATCTATAAAGTCGGGCACAATTTAACTGGTTTTAACAACATTTTAGAAGGTGGGATAGTCCCTTTAATATACGGATTGATTGGCGGGTGGGTGGGGGTGGGGTTGTACCACGGAAATGTCTTTGTCCATGCTATGACGTGAGTGAATGTGTGAATGTTGTTAATGTCTAAATTAATAACCGCAGATACGGATTCTTAGCAATAATCGTCACGCAATTTGAGAATGTGGATCGATCATGATTGTTCAATACGATACAATATGATAGCCAGCTTACGTTTTCTAGCAGTGGAACATTAGTTATAAAGAATCAAAGCCGTGCAAGTGGTTAACAACGGCAGATATCTCCGTTTCCGTATACGAGTACATCGCCTTCATGCGGCGAACCATCACGCTATTTCCATTGTACCGTATTGTTCCTTTGACAATTACCCTGCGAGTTTAAGTTGCATTTTCCCTTCCCAGTGGAAGGGAAATGCTTTTGCCGTAAAGGCTTTTCTGTGACGACTACTCTGCTACCACTTTTCCCTTGCTATTCGCATTCAGCAGGGCAACGTGAAGCCGTGCAGAACGTCTCACTTTACCAGCTTTCTCGCAATTCTATATGCACTTTGTGTCTACGTTGCAGCTCTCACAGACCGTTGTTAGCGGACTCTGATTTCGGTCGGCTTGTGCGGTGTCATTTGGCATTTCTTTAATTGTTCTCTCACGGTTGGCGAGCGGCGAGCCGGTAAACTGTTCGAGCGAGAGCGGACAGCTCGTCGGGCTGGCGAAGAGGAAAGTCGTGCTACGCCAGTGCCGAGGCTGTAGTGACTGCCGAGTTCCCAGAGACGAGACCTGGAATATGTTTTAGGGCCTTGGCCTGGAACTTTTCAGTTATGCGTACTCCATCACCTAAATAGGTGGGTAGCTGATAAACAGGCGGCTAATTGACGAGGGTCACATGCATGAAAATAGCTGGCAAAAAAGAGAATCTTAACTTTTTTTGCCCGTTAGACAGCCTTGTCTCTAGCATTCCTCTCTGGCCTAATATCAAACTGATTCGTCGCCTGAAGCCTCTGCAGTCTGCAAGTGAGCAATCTGGATAAATGCACAATATTTCAACATCGCATGCCTGACTCCTGTTGAAACGTTGAGTGTCGACGGCAGTCCATGATGTTAATCTGTAGCCAACGTCCGGGGCCATTCTGGTAGGAACCGCTGCCAAAGTAGGTCAGACTGGCTGGCAGTCAATGCCGCGATATCGAGCTGAGGAGACCCTAGTCACGAGCCGCTTCAGCCATCTGGGAGCCACCCGCGCCCTCGCCAGCGTACTACGCCAGTGCTTCAAATAAGACTCGGGTAGTGAAACTTGCAATGGATGATGCAATATGCAGTCCACGGGACGAGCTATGATGACTTTCTCGGGTTTTGATTGCGTTCACATGTGTGCGTGAGACGTGCAGTGAATACTTACATGCAAAGTTTGTCGATGTTGATAGGTTGTCCTACTTCACAATTCACGTCAAATCCATCTGACCAAAGCAAAGGAAATCAGTGCACGAACCAAACTGCAGTGTCTGACCAGTCCACGCATGCCCTGTCCTATTGATTATTTCTCGCTGCACTTCTGCAGGGTCTGACAGAGGTCTGTGATTGTGTGGTTGTTACTGTATGATAAAGTGTTTCACAGGGATGTGTGTGTGCCCCAGTGCTGGTCACGCTGATGGTCCGCGCAGAGTGTCTGATCAGTGCCGCTTTATCCGCAGGTCTGGTGAAGCTCGGCGTACACTGTATGACAGGACGTAAGGTGGCTGTGAAAATAGTCAACAAGGAGAAACTCAGCGAGTCGGTACTTCAGAAGGTGAGAAATGAAGAGCTATACAAATCGTAGATATATGCACATGACCAAGCAACTTGGCATTTTTACTTGCATTTTTTTCTTGATAGTGCTACTTTCTTGTAAGTTACAATGTACAAAGTAACAATGTAACGTAGAAGTGCTTATGCAAACATATTTCCTTTATCTTCCGTGGCTCATTTATGAGCGATAGCCAACCGTCCGTCGCGCTGTCGTCATGCCGGCCTTGACATTATCGCGTACAGTTAAGTTCCAGAAGTAATCCTTCGTGTAGTTGGGCTTCCCCAGCCCCGACAGCTGCGTTAATGAGATTGCTTCAGTATGGTGGGGTGGTGCATCATATTCGAGTTACGTCATATACGAGCATCACGGCACGGTTGTAGTTAGTGGCTCGTACATGGTAGCCACTAACCACCCTTTCCGTGCGTGATGTCAACAGGGGAATACAGGCTGTTGGAGCGCGTTGACAGTCGAGCAGTGGGTTATCGTTTATCGTGTGTATGCTAGTGGCAACCCTGCAGACTGAGCACCTAGAGTAACCATCACCACCAGCCACAAATCATTCTCGGCCTAACTAGGGTAACAAGTATAGACCGGGTTATAGGCTGTCCGCTCTCAGGGTAAATTAAGAGACGGTGTCGATGGCTGAATGCGTTTTGTTGGAGCCTACCTCAGATGCTTCGCTGCTTTTACTGTACCTGAAAGAGTTTGTTTTTATCCTCAGGTGGAAAGAGAAATCGCCATTATGAAGCTGATCGATCATCCTCATGTGTTAGGATTATATGATGTGTATGATAACAAGAAATATCTGTAAGTATGCTGCTGCAAATGGAATGGGGCGCCAAGAAGGGTCAACTTTAGTGAGCGATACACATGATCATGCATCGCAACTAATGCATGCTTCGCTTTTTTACGTGTCATCCACATGTCTAACTTCAAACGTTATCACTTTTGATTGATTGCCCGCGCTTTGTTAAAAATATTCTGGATGACTTACATCCGCGAGTTCTTGTGGTAAAATTGAACGAAAAGCATCGCGAAGGTTCTTAAGCAAAGTCTACCTTAAGTGGATCGTCATGTCTGTAAAACATGCTCTCCTATCGGTGACATCTGACAATACTGCGTGGCTCTTGTTGCAGATATTTAGTGTTGGAACATGTGTCCGGAGGTGAACTGTTTGACTATCTCGTGAAGAAGGGCAGGCTGACGCCCAAGGAGGCGAGGCGATTCTTCCGGCAGATTATCTCCGCTCTGGATTTCTGCCACAGCCACTCAATATGGTAAGTGCCGTCTGTGCTTCATCCATTTCCTTAGGGAAGGCTTTCAGTTTATTCTCGGGTAGATGCCTCAGGGAGGATTAACCTTCTGTCAGCATCGGAGGCGCAGTCTGTGATCAATGCCGACAGTGTGGTTGGACATTTCCCAGCAACCCCGGAGCTGCACCCCATCGCGCTGATCAGCCGCGGTGGAAGTTAGCAGCCCACTCAGTGATGGTGGCACTGGCGACGGTCGAGAGACCAATGGAGCGTGTTCTCCACTGGAGTGATGCGAACAACAAATAGACCGGTGGCTACGATCGTAACAACTTTTGAGAATCTCAATGATGTCCTGGAGACAAAAAGCAAAGGTCTTTTTCAGAGGCGTTCGTTGCGTTCTGCAGCTCAAGTGATCTGTACTTCTATCGTTGGATGTAAGCAATGGTATGTTTGAGCATCGTTAGTAATATCATCGTGATGAAAAATGACCTTATGCTCATGATATAATATGATTAATGAATTGAAATATGACCCCAAAAAATCATTAATGATTTTTTGGTATTATTTCAATTCCACTTAATCATATTATATATAAGATAAAAAGCATAAGGTCATTTTTCCTCACGATAATCGTACTTCTATCGAGTTGTTTTTGCGGTTGACGACATTTGTATTTGAAATGGAAGGACTCTAAATGTAATATTTTTGTACTCTGGCTGGACTATTTATTTTGAACAGCTTTGAGTGGTATCATATCGTTTGCAGATACGTTCAGTGAACTCCATTACGTAGTGTTGAATGTGTTTTGTACTACTCAGCGCTTTCTATGTGTGATCATCATCCCATACCCTCGCCACATCCGCCACCAAAATCGGTACTCTCAGCACGATTAACCGTTTATTAATCGCACCACATGCGTCAGATACAATCCAAACTAATGAACAACCGCCATCACTCAAATACACAGCCCAATTTAGTCTGAACCCCGCCCTGTTCCGGCGGATGCCGGGTCTCGACTCCAGCCGTCTACAGCATCCAGGACTCGCGCTTCACCTTGATGCAGTCGTCGCCGTAGTTGGGCAGCGGGTCGCGCTGGCAGGTCTTGTCCACCATGTAGGCGGCCTGGAACTCGCGCGCGCTGAAGAACAGGCAGCGTTTCGGGCCGACCAGGTCCTGCGAGGACTCACCGTTCATGTCGCCGCAGAGGCCGCACACGCGGTTGCGGAGGAACATGGGCTCCAGCATCAGCTTGACGGCCGGGCCGACGATGCGGAGGCGCGCCTGGTACTGGGGCAGCTCCAGCTCCAGCAGCTCTCCAGTCCACTTCAGGATGCGCGCCTCGGGAATCTTGTCGGCGGTCTCGCTCTCGATGACGACCAGGTCGCCGATGGGCAGGCGACGAGTCTCCTGGTTGTCGACGCGCAGGTGGTAGTCGAGGCCAGTGGGCATCAGCTCGATGATGCGCGTGCTTGTGATGATGCGGACGGCGCGGCGAGAGCCCACCTGCTTGACGAGGATGGCCAGCTTGGTGACCTCGGAGCAGTCCTTGGCCATCAGGTGCCAGCACGAATCAACCATCTTCTCCGGCAGGGTTACGTTGTCGAAGGTCTTGATGAAGTGCTCGTCGATGACACACTTGTGCATGTTGATGCCCATCATCTTACGGTTGCGCATCTCCCAGCTATCCTCGTAGGCGTTGATGCCCTCCTTGATGTTCAGGAACGGCATGAACGGAATTGACAGACCGAAGTTGTTGTTGGTGTTGTACACACCGTTGGTCTTCCACGGGAACTCCATGGCATGGATCTTCTTGATCTTGAAAATCGTCTTGGCATCATCATACATGAGCTTCCAGCACTTCGAGAACGGGTTGAATTCAAGCTGAATGCTACGCTGGTTCATGTTGTGCAGCTTAGATGGCCACATGGTCTTAGGGAAGCTTGCCAGGCGGTTGAGGAAGTAGTTGCCGATGAGCTCCATCCAGGAGGGAGAGTTATAATCCATCTTCTTGGTGAGGCTCTCCTTACCTAGGAGTCCGACGGAGGTCAGCTCGTCTTTCAGGTGCGTGTTCATATCCACAGTGATCTTGGCTTGGTTCATACGGGACGCCTTGATCTTGGCCATCTCACAGACAGGTGCGTGCTCGAAGCCATTGTTCCTCATTTCGCGGCAATCACGAACAACACGGTTCTGGTTGGCAAACATCTTGTAGAGGTCAGTCTGACGGAGAAGACCGTTCACGGTTGCCACCCTGGTTATGGTGTCGTTGATGCCAACGTTGATGGTCATCTCCATGGGCGCGATCATGTTCGAGGCAAGCAGCTCGTTCAGGGTGCGACCAACGTGAGGCCAGGTGATGTGTCCGTTGACAATCAGCTCACGCTTGATGGGCACATCGTCGGTAGGCACCATCAGCAGGCGCGCGTCGACCTTGGTGTTGAGTCGGGAGGCATCCTTCACCAGCATCGTCTTGAGGGCCATACGCTTCTCCTTCATGCCCATGGCGCTGACCACAACAGTGTAGCCGAGGACGTTTCCGGTGTGGATGTCCTGCAGCACGCGGCGGGATCGCTTCATCACCTCACGACGAGCGTCCTTCTCGATAGCGGCATGCTTCTCATCGCGGTACTGCGCCTTGTCGGCCAGCCACTCGATGTGCTCTACAGGCTCAGCCTCCGGGTTGTTGACGGTATCCAGAGTGTGGTAGCGGGCAAAGTCATCCTTGGCCACAGAGATGATCATTTTCTGGGTGGTGGCAGTGGCGGTGTCGAGCGTGAGCTTCATCAGGTTCGGGCGGATGGTCGGCAGGACAGTGAACATGTTGCCAAGCTTGCTGGTTGCGCTGATCTTGCGGAAGAAACTCCAGATGTCACCGAAGTCGTCTTCACTCTTGACGGTCATGGTCATGTCGATGCCGAACATGGCCTTGCCGAGCCTCATCTCAGTGGTGGTCGGGGTCTTGACGTTGATGGGCTTGGTGTCCGAGTTTTGACGCATGGTTGTCGTCATCTTGGTCAGGTCCAGAGCAGATGTGAACGGATACGTTTCCATGCGAAGGAGATTGAGTTCGCTGGGCTTGTTGATGAACTTGGCGAACACCTCGACACGGTTGCTCTTGGTGTCCCACTCAGTGCTAGTGGTGAGGGGCAAGCTCATCATGATGTTGCGGCTGACTCCTGCGGAGAGGAACCGCATGGTAAGCGGGTTGACGGCACCAGCAAGAGAGAGCATCTTGACGTTGATGAACGGCTGCAGGTTCTTGGTATCGAGCTTGATCAGTCGGCTGCCATCAGCAGACTTCTTGCTCTCGAAGACGACATCACCACGGATGGAGAGGACAGCGGGGGCGGACCTGATGACCATCATTGGCACACCAACATCGGTCGGAAGTCCGATGACGTGATCCACCAGGTTCATGATCTTCTGGAAGTTCTTGACCTCGAACTTCTTGGTATCGGCGTCGCGCATTTGCTGCAGAGTGTTCTGGATGGCCTGCTGGTCGAAGGCGAACAGACGCTCCATGGAGCCCATGATGTTTGCCTGCAGCCAGACCATGAGAGGCTCGTTCTCACGCTTCACCATCTTCAGCAGGTTCTTGATCTCGGCCAGCTCTCCAATGGCGGCCTGCAGAGGCTCAGAGCCGCGGTTGAAACGGTTGATGTTGGTTGTGCTGTCCGGCGCCATCAGGAAGTCAATCACATTCTGCAGACCAACGAACTTGCTAAACATCTGAATCGGGAAGAAGGTCAGGCTGTTGTAGCTGCGCATGTGTCCGCGGTAGGTCAAAGAGGAAACGTCGAACGGCGACTTATTGATGACGGTGTCCATCTCGGCAGTGACCATGAGAAGATCAATCTGGCTTCTGACCAGGATGTTCTTGGTGAACAGGTCGGCGTGGAGCATCGGGCGGGCCAGCCGGAACACGGACCGGGCCTTCTCACGGATCTCCCACACCCACGGGACGTTAATGTCGGTCAAGTTGGCAGCCTGCTCCAGGAAGCTGGAGATGTAGTTGGTGATCTGCTGGTCGCTCTCGACCCAGGTGTGCATCGCCAGGGTCTGGTAGGTTGCCAGAGAAGGGTTCAGGGTGATCAGCACAGTGGTGGCCGCCATCCGGACCTCGTGGAACTCGTTGCGGTCAAAGGCGATGGGCTTGACAACCTCCTCCACAACAGTCGGATTGATTTCGCGGAACTTCATCATGGCATAGATGGCAGTCTCACGAACGTGCACGTTTTCATCCTTCTTCGTAGCGATCTCCACCAGAGTCGGCACCACAGCCGGGTGCTGCAGGGTGGCAAGTGCCTTCAGAACCACCATCTTCTCACGGATAGAAATATCCTCGGTCAGGCGTTTCTTGAAGAAGGGAATCCATTGCTGCTCAATCTGCTGAGTCTCGAGGCTACAGAACTTCTGGAACATGGTAACAGGGAAGGCGTTTGTGGTGGTGGCGCGGCGAATGCAAGCAATGTTGACCGTCTTGGCGAAGGCCAGCATGCTGTTTTGGCGGAGGTGCTCATCATTCTGCGCGATGCCGTTACTCAGCGTCTTGAACATCTCCTGGAGGATCTCGACAGTGGGGGTCTTGATGTGCATGGGGATGAACATAACGAGCGTAGCAGCCTCGGCACCGACAACTTGCTTGGTCTCGATCCACTTCTTCACCATCATGATGCAAGGGTTGGTGCCTCCCATCGCCACTGCCTCACGGAACAGCTTCTTCATGACATCCACGTTGCGGTCGGGGATGGTCGAGATCTTGCTGTAGATGTCTTCCAAGTCAGCCAGAGACATTATGTTCAGCAGCGAGTGGAGGACGTTGACCATGCCCGGGGTGTCACGGGTCGTCGGGTCAGGCACCTGATCGAAGCTGGAGTCGAGGCTGGCCAGGACATCGAGGACCTTCTTCTTCAGCTCGGTAGCGGGCACCTTCTCCAGCAGGCGGTGCAGGGGCACGACGGGGCGTGCCATGTTGAAGACCGGGGCGTCAGTCAGCGTCGGCTTAGCCAGGAACTCTTTCTCGG